TGCGCTACTCACCAACGCGTCCTAAATACCATTTCTGATATATTTAAAAACAAACATCTTCCAAAGTGAAACACTGAGATTTTGGCGTTTCTTGTGAATAGTACACATTTCACACAAGATAATACCTTTCTAAACCAGATTAGAAAAAAAGGTACATTCATTGTTTGGCTCTACTTTTTCTAACTCTAAATTAATTTCCATTAAAAATTGTTTCTTTTGTACAATGTAATACAATACTAATTATTGGATGAAAAACTGCATCCCTACGCTTAATTCGTCCATTTAGGACTCGTCAATGATTCTAAAGTCTTTGAGTGTGGAAAATTAGGAGTCGACTTTTAATAATAAAATTGGTTGAAATTATTATTAAAATCAGAATGGATGATTCATCTAATTTCATTTCATTAACTACTTATCCGATCCCTCAATCAATCTCCCCGCCCCACCCACCAACACACACCTTCAACGCCTACCACCCTCTGTGTTGCTTTCACTTTTCTCTCAGTGATGTTGATGTAACGCTGATGTATGTAATTTATTGTATATATTTAGTTTCGGTTCAGAGATTGGTCATGATTTAGAAGAGGTAAGGCAGAGTGAGTGGCATTCGTTAGGGTTTTTTTTTTTGTTGTTAAAAAATACATAAATGTGTTTCGCTTCGTATGTAAAATAAAGTGGAAATATTATTCTGAATCAAAGAAACACCACATTCCAAAACTATCACGTTTTGCCATTTGTTGCTAATCGATACATAGAGTACATTTCAACATCAAACCTGTATATCTACTTAAAAGATATAGAGAGTTGTAAAATAAACATTTCGGTAGAAACACATATCTCCCCTCAAATCTTAGCCTCGAAGGCAAAATGTCTTCCGATGGGGAGGAATGTGGAGTTAAATTACACGCCCGGCGTTTTAGTGCTAATGACTAGGGATGTTTCCCATAAACATTTCTTACTACTTCTTAATAGAGTAAGTATAGAACTGGGGAATCAATGAGTTCTGAAAATAGGAAGAACACGTGATCATTAAAGAGCACGTGATCAGTAAAGAACACGTGATCAGTGAATACCAAAATGAATAAGGGCACATGATAATCGATTATCGAATGTGGTTATTACTGAAAAAAGTGAAAGATGAGATTTTCGATAAGATTATAAGGACACATTGGTTATCACGAATATGGATGACACGTGATCATTGATTACTGATTGGCAAAACGACACGTGATTATGGCTTTTCGAAAGGAACACTGACACGAGATCTTTGATTATTTTCAGAAAACGTGTTAATTGATAATCGAGTGCAAAATGGATGTGTTACATATTTAATCATGAAAAAGCATTAAAAACACGTGATTATTCCGAAGAAATGATAGAATTCCCGCGTGAGGTAAGTACTCCAGCGAGATGTGTATTCTAACGAGTAGTAAGTACTCCCACGAAATGACAGTACTTCAATGAACTTTGAGTAAAACCTATAAAAGTCACGTAATATAGTAGTTTGGAGTCCTTCATCAACACTTCATTATTATTAGCTAGAAATAGGTGGGGGTGGTTTGAGGCGAAAATACCTTCAGTGAGAATACTTTATGAATGTGCCGCTAACACACGATTATAATGTACCACGTTACTGAGTAGAAGTAAGTTAAGGTTCTTATTTCGTACGACTTACATATTTAACACTCCCCCCTCACAGCAACCTCCTCCCCCTCACAACCCCCCCCCCCCCCACCCCGCCTCACAACCCTCCCTCCCCGCCTCCCAATAAAACTATTCTGTATCTATGTGAAACACATGAAAACATTTTGTATCCACGTTAATGTATGATGAAGTTTATAGACGAGATAATTGAAAATGATACCCATATCATATATTCTCTCAGTTCTGGTTTTTGCAAAAATGTTTGCCCACGCATTAAGTAGAAATAAATCCCTTCGAAAATAGGTTTTTTTTTACGGTAAGTGAAATAATTTCTTAAGAAAAAAAATCCTTTCTGATGATGGATATCTACATGTGGCTATATTCGCGTTAGAACGACAAGGAATTGTGTTTAAATATATCTCTTATATACATATCATATGTTTTGAGTTTTGTCGTATGACCTTATTAGCCGAATGGAAGAAATGGAAGATGAAAGGGAAAGCAAATATTTGAGTTAATTTTAGTGTGAAAGTGTTACCTGTTCTTGTTAATGAAATGAAATGAAATTTGATTTTCATCAACATGAAGAATACAAAAGTACATTTCATGTATACCTAAAGAGGATTAAATTTAGACAAACATGTTGTCCAATCCATTTGCTTTGCAATAAAAATCTTTTGAAATGAACTGAACAGAGGAAATGATCATCTGATACCTGATATAAAATGTGTTTGAATCTTTGAACGGATAATTGAATACCTTCGTGTAGTGTCTGTAATGTAAACGAAAAACTACATTTGGTTCCGAGAACATTAAAAGATGGGTGACTGATTTAATGTTTCTGAAATCATCCGGTATATGAAAATTGCAAAATTTATTGAACAAGGCATCGATGGTACTTACCAATCTAGATTTTGCTATTTCTTTCGATCACTTCGGATTGTCCTATGTCGCCTCCCCAGGTTTCAAATGTTAAGCCCTTAGCGCCACTGACGAGTCCAAGAAGGACGAAACAGCTGTATGATGCAGCGTCACTGTCGAGTCCTAGAAGGACGAAACAGTTGTATGATGTAACATTACTGACGAGTCTGACGAGGACGAAAAAACTGTATGATGCAGCATCACTGACGAGTCCTAGAAGGACGAAACAGCTGTATTATGTAGCATCACTGACGAGTCCTAGAAGGACGAAACAGCTGTATGATGTAGTTTAATTCATTGTTTAGTATTTCTCTGTTAGGGACTGGTTAGGGACAGAAGAGACCTCACAGACTCAGTAGCATGTTTCTCATTTATGTATAACTCTAGATATATATTAAATCGTGATTTTCACTTGTGTGTCCGTCCTTTGTGGAATCTTCAATAGAACATTCATTAAAGGCAACACTAACTGTCTGACACAGGTACAATTAGTGAATCGCCTTTCGTGATAACGATAAGGTAGATATGGCAAACATTCAATAAACAACCTGCATATGTTTCCGTGTTGCCAGAGAAACGTTTTGATTTTGACACATTATACATACATACATACATACATACATACATACGTACGTACGTATTTACATACATACATACATACATACATACATACATACATACATACATACATACATACATACATACATACATACATACAGTTGATATTTCAGAGTTATTTCATCCACATCTTGTTGACCTAGTAAGCCAATTATTTATTTCTTTGATTATGTATTTTAGCGACTTTTTTGCGAGTTTAAAAACAATAAAATAACAAAACGACAATAGTCAAACAAAACAAACAATATCAAAACAAACAAAATCTGAACAGTAAACAAACACAAACAGCGCTTTAGATATTGATGCTTTTCCTAAGTGTAATCTTTTTAACATTTACAAATAACTTGCTATTCATTGTGTTTATTTGCTATCATGATAAACACAGCCGTTTGTTTACATATGTATAGGTTATGCTTATCTCCTGTCAGTAGAAACATATTGTACATGTATTCCGACAGCAGTCGAACAGCCACTGACTTCAACCCAGAATCCCAAAACCACTAAACGAACTGATAGCAGACTCTGCTCTATCTTGATAAAACAGCCTCTTTATACAAGCAAAAACATGCAAAATGTTTGAATTATCTCATGCTCTTTCTGTTGTGATATAAAAACATCAACCGGTCTTTCTGCCTGATGATACTTGTTTGTTTTGACCTGAAAAAGCAGGGGTAGATACCTCGATCATACTTATTACTTTCATGTCAATCATTATTGGTGCTAATTCATCGTCCATGTTTTCGTAACGATGGGTATTGATAGTGAGATCAACATCCGCTCTACGGGAGATCAGACAGACTATCAGTGAATATTTCACTTACTTTAAGATCTATGAGGGTAACGCCACTTATCTTGTCGTGTTTGGATGTATGTGTGAACTTTACCATGTTAATGGTTTAAAGCGTATTCCGGTATCCCCTAGGGAAACATGGCTGTGATAGGTCTGGAATCTAGTGGTAATGATACAGCGTTGTAGTCAATAAACGCCAAGAAGGCGTCACTTCCAGTCCCCTCCTCTCCTGAAAACATTTTATCTTGTTTGGTCTTTTGAAAGAACTTGTAAGACTTTATAGTTAAATTTGAAACATGTTCGCAAGTTAGAATATGAATGTATGGTTTATTATCTCGTTTGGTGCAACATTTAGCGCTGATAGTATATTTTTACATCCGTGTAGCTTTTGATGAATACAATTAATTGGTAATAATATCCGCAATAATCAAAAGATAGGGAATCGTGATGTTTGCTTATTTTGTTTCTCCTTGTTTTTGCAGGTTAATTGAAAAAGCTGGTGTTCCATATGGGATGTAGACTAAAAGTACAAACAGCCTGAAGATATGCTATATTGTTGCATGATGAGACGAGTTCGGCCTCTGTAGACGCTCTGATCGGCTGGAAGAGGGTTGATAACTGGAATGATGGCAACAGATTTTGTTACAAGAAATGGACTGTTACACAATATCTTCACAGACTATTGAACCTTAATGTTTTAAAGAAAGATAACATTTAAACAACGATTCCGTATGTGCAGCAATGTATTTGAATTAACAAGTGATACACACAAATATTGATACCGTAAATACGCGCTACATACAGATATTGACACCGGACGTACGCGCTACATACAAACAGTGGTCACGCCCGTACATGCAACATAAAACCCTGTAGCGTTCCTGAACGCGTGATATTTTACTACTTATCTAGATCGAGGGATACACAACCATTGAGTTTCTACAAACTACATAAAAACGCTCTTCACGTAAAGCTACATACTTCACGTGTTTAAATTCTCTAATAATTCATTATAACAACATAAAATATGAATTACAGTGAAAACGTGACAATGATTGGTAGCACTGACGTCATATCAACTGAAATATGGAACATCACTAATAGTTCAGTTGGCGTGACGACAGATGTCTACTCCAAGTCGTCCTGTCCCAACATGAACGCCTCTGACTCGTCGGACAAGAGCGCACTCGAGGCGTTCAGTGTCCATTACGCTGGAGTTCACGGTTATGTTAGTGTTTTTGTGTGCCTTTTTGGAATGCTTGCTAATACGGCAAATATTGTTGTACTTACTCGGAAGAAAATGATAACTTCAACAAATTATATTCTAACTTGGTTAGCTGTCGCGGACCTGTTTACCATGCTTGACTACTTCCCGTTTGCTATCCATTTCTATATTCTGAAGGATCCGAAACTCCCCTTTCCAATGACGAAAGGTTACGGGTGGGTATGTTTTCTTATGTTCCACGCAAGTTTCAGTGTCGTGTGTCATACGATTGCGATATGGTTAACAATAGGATTGGCCATATTCCGTTTTATATTCATATGGTTTCCAACGAAGGGGGCTTTGTACTGCAGCCAACAGAAAGCTAAAAGAGCAGTGATAGGTGTTATCCTGTACACAATAATCATATGCATACCAAACTATATGTCTAACGAAATCACGACATATTGCCTCGGTGAAGAGGAGCCCGTGTATTCGCTGGAGGTGAGGAAAGATGGAGCTTTTGTGGTGATAAATTCTGTGAACTACTGGACTCAAGCTCTGCTCTTCAAACTTGTGCCCTGTATCATGCTGACGTTGCTGACTCTGCTTCTTATCACTGCCATGCATCGCGCTTACAAGCGGCGAGTTGCTCTGAAAAATCAAGGTAAGAAGGAGGATACGGACAAACACAACGAACACAACCGTACCACTCTAATGCTGCTGGCAGTTGTCGTTCTTTTTCTTATTACGGAGTTACCGCAGGGCATTCTTACAATATTGAGCAGTTCTATTAAAGGGTTCTTCGATTCTGTCTACATGCCTCTGGGAGATCTTCTCGATATTGTGGCACTTTGCAATAATGCTATCAACTTTGTCCTGTATTGCGGTATGAGTACTCAATTCCGAAAAACATTTTTTGAAATTTTCTGCAGCTGTATTCCCGAGAGGAGGCCAGGATGGCGAAAACTGGGTGTGGTGACAGCCGAGAAAAATGGATGTACACCCACAACGACAACCACCTCATTGTCAACTACTACTACCAAACTGTGACGTAACGCATACTCACGTGCACCAATAAAATGTTACGTGACGCGTGGTCACGTGGATTCTTTGACAAGGAAACATACATTTCTTAAAATGATTTTAAACGACACATTTCGATATTGCCATGTCACAGTAGTTCAGTAAGGACACGTCAATATTATTGCAATACATTGTGTTTTATTGTTTGTGTGCTAGCTTTTCATAGGCCATTTTTGTGAAGCGTTTTATTTGTAATACAATTTTGGTACGCGTTATAGTTTTATCTATGTTGATGGTATATCGTGTTTTTGCAATAGCTCTGTGTATACGCATGACAGTTGTAATTCTGATAAGAGATTTAAGAGAGTTACTTCTTTTAATACGAACTAATCTCCTGGTATCTATATGTTAAGCAATAATGCTCAATAATGTGATTATGCAGTTTTTTTAAAACCTATTCAGGCGTCTCTGTTATGTTAGTCTTTTTTTGTTCATTTTTAGCAACGTTTACTCGAATTTCGTTTTGAATTTAGATTCCGATTGGCATATTTTTGTTGTTTGGAAACAAGCAGAAAGTCTCAAATATGAGATGTGTGACAGTTATCGATCCATGGAAAGATATAAAGTGATTCTGTTTTGGGTTCGACTACACTGTGATACTTTTAGGACAAGTACAAACTTGTAATTTTAGTGTCGATATGATTTTAACTGCGTAAGGTACAACAGTAACAAAGAAAACACCGACAGAATCTTATTAAAACTCAAATTCGATAAAACTAGGGGAAATATGAACGCGTCCTCTGCTTTATCGACGACACCGCCATTGTTACTCATGTTATATCATGTTACCAAAGAGATAAAGCCTAAATTGAAACCATGACAAAGTTGATGTTTTATGTTTAGAGAAGACGATATCAAACTGTATTAGAATAGACCTTTAACAAATTATGATTTGTTAGACTTCGATAAAACCATAAAGCGATACTTATTTGCAAACTGATTGTAAGATATGTTGTAGACGTGTGGGAAATTGATAACAGTAATATGTTATTGTTACGTGTCTGGCTTGACCAATCTAACTAAAATCACATCTCGTCACTTACTTTTCAGACCTTTCTTTATAAACTGGATATTTATGTCATAACACATGACTTTTTAAAATTTTGAAGAATCACTTTTCATGATGAAGTGAAAATCTATACATTATGCATAAGAATGAATAGTAACGTATTTATTTCGACAGCTTCCGCTTCTCTGTCAGATTCCCATGTAACGAGATATATAATACAGCATAGGTAGCGAAATGAGAGATGTGATTATAAGTAAATTGTGGATTGGCAAACTCATGGCGTGTTACTGTATTGGCAAGCTTCCTTTATTATGTTGTTCTTTAAGGTAGGTGATTTTAGCCTAAATGACTGATAAGTGCTACTGCTTGTAGGTATGTTTCTTCCCACAAATTCCTAGTAAATTTATATTATAAAATATTTGTCTTTGGAACTTAACCGTCTGTAGAAGATATGAAAAATTCATCGAAACAACTTTCACGAACACGATATTGAATCCTAAAATGTCGACCACAGCTGATTATGTTACTTGTGTTCATTGATTTCCATCATAATGTATATATTGTTCATCGTTATTCTTTACAGTCAATGATGATAAATTATAACACACATAGATAATAAAGATATTTCATTTTTGATATTGAGAATTTACTGTAAAAACATTAATTTTCGTGATGAGTTTATTTTCATTGATTTCCTGGGTACATTAAATGCACGAAATATATCAACGAGCTGTTCACGAAATCTAATTTTTGAACATGTTTTCGAAAAATCTCCAAGAATGAGCCCCGCGAAAATATATGATTTTACAGTAGATTAATTTTTATACAGTATATGTTCGATGATTCATCCGTCATTCCGAATGTGAATAAAAGAGCAATATTACATTTCATTTCGACCAGTAGCACATGGGTAAATTACACTGATCGCGACATATCAAGTGTAGCTATTGTTTCATTAACTGATTTAAATGTATTTTTTACAACATTGATGTTGGTACGACTCACCCATTCCAATTTGCGCTTAAACACGCGAAAAATTATTTTTAATTATTACCTGTATGTTCGGAGCATTTATATAAACATTTAATTCTGTTTAGTTTCTTTCGATCCTCGATTTTTTTAAAAGAATTATTTTTCAACATAACCAAACAACGTTTTATTGATATATACTACATTGACTTAATTTAAAGTAAAAAAATAAAGTTTTTTATATGACTGCAAATTCTAATTGAAAACAAAAATGTCAATCGCAAAGCATTTGTGAAGTTTTGTTATAATTTGAATTTTTTGGAACAACGATTATCAGGAAATCATATCATTAAGATATTCTATTTCTTCTTATAAGGTACGTGTTAGAAGGTCAAAGCGCTGTATGCAATGACCTCTTGGTATTGTACTGAAATTTTATTTAAAGAAATATGATAATCTTTTTTGTCACTGCTGTTATTTGCTTGTATATAGCAATATATCTTGTTTTATTTTACACTAACACTGTTTCTTCACAAAGCATTTTCCCACTATTAGATCTTAAGGAAATACCTTAGTGTCATTTATAATATTTGTTTATGTTCTGTAGCTCCATGCGATGGGTGTTTTTGTTAAGATTAAAAAATGGTCGGTAAAATATATTAACACATAACTTTTATTAGTCATTGTGATGGTAGATTTGCGACAGCTCGATCTATGAAGTGCTTCATCTTGCAGGTTATGATTGATGCTACTAATCTACAAAAGTATTAGTACAGATCATCTCTTCCAATTCTTTTCTATCAAAACAACACAACCATTAACGTTTTCTGATTAGTAAAATCCTAATATAAATAGAAAAGTTGTATTGGTTGAAAATTGTATCGAAAAAACATTTTCAAATTTCTGTCGTAACTTGAATGTAATGTCCTCGTTGATTCTCGAGTTTTTTTTTTTACAGAATGGCAGAAACTTCCATTCTGACTTGGAAATCATTCGTGTGTAATCTTCTTCTCTTGCTTAAAATTAAATTGTGGTAGGTAATTGTTTCTAAGGTGCGTGCATCGGAAATGAATGTACTCCGAAATATCAATATGAAAATGTCACACGCGACACCAGATAGATAAAATGTACTTAAAAACCTACCCGTGAACCTACATCACGTAGAGTCCAATTTGTACACATATGTTCTCTAAGACAACAGATGTCATGTTTGTATTAGCAGGATTAACAATAAAGTTCAATAAACTAGACATTACTCTTAACTTCTTAATTGACTTCATTTATTTGTAGTATATTTTTTTATTTTATCATAAAATTGTTGAAATGTGTCGTTTAGATGACGTGTACAATTTTGTTAGACTGTTGATCACTAAAATATATATTTCTATCTGTTAATTCGGTTTGGAAACTTTTTTTACTGTCCGTTCTTTTATGAAAGCAAGTATATAGGCCCCTTCATCGCGATTCAGAACTTATCCACTAGCTTTATATCTATGGATTTGGCAGATCGTTTCTCATTTCGGAATTAATTTCTCTCAAACATGTATCATTTATAACATGTGACATGGTCTACCTTTTCATTCATACAGTATTTTACCTATGGAGTTTGGGATTCGCAATTTTTTGATATTCAAGAAATTACCGTGATTGATATAGCTATTGATCGCATAACATATCATATTCTAGATATTCAGATTGATAAATAATGCGCGACAAAATTTCTGGTCGCCATCATCATCTATTGCTTGTGCTTTATGCCACTGTATTCGATGCTAGGTACTCTGCCTGAAAATTCAAAGTGATGAACGAGGTTCGCATTTTGAGAAAACGTCATTGCTTTGATTACGTAAACTTAGATCGCGGTTGTAGTCGAGTGATTAGAAGACGCTTTTGCATTTGAAACAACGTGTCTTGTTCACCTTTCATTTGTTGTTTGAAAATTGCCCTCATTTTTACAGCGATTTTGACTTAATTTAATTAACATGTCTGTATTGGCTTCGGTTCCTACCTTGTTTTTTTCTCCGAATCGAATATCATACCATATTCCTTTTTTGGGTATGAATTTTGACTCCGTTTTTTTCTGCTAGTAAATATCATCGATACCATATATTGAAATACTTGCTCGGTTTGAGATGTGTCATTGAGCTTAGGAAAGCATAACAACGATGTATTTCCGCCCGATGATTTCGGACAAATCCTTCTATGTTCACTACGGATCACGTGGATTCTTCTTTAACCTTTCACATCGATTGGCTGACCGCTACACTGCTAGGTCTTTGTTGTGCGTTAGTAATATAATCCCAAGCCACAAGCTTTCGCGGTCCCGTTTTCTGTAAAGAAGGTATTCAAAGACGGTAGAATGCTAACGATTTCTTCCTCAACTGTGAATTCGGTGTTATTGATGGTGTTTATCTCTTATATTGATATGTAACGTCAAACATTTCTGTGATCTTTCATGTTGGCCTTAATTCACTTCTTGAACAAACCGGTCATGACTTGAGATAGACTGCAATAACTAACGGTTCCGAAGCCAATTCTTAGCCGGCATTGCTAAGGCTGAATATAGCGTTTTTAGCATACATTCCGGGAAATAAGCTTAAGTGGTGTCTTAGATATGAATGTTCGTGTATCTTCTCATTCAGTAATTCCTTCCACGTGATCAAGGGATACTGACATTATGAAACAGCTTTCCAGCAGATGTTTTGAATTTCCACTATTTTCATATGTGTTCTTTCAATCCATGGTTGCGAATGAAAGTAGACTGGATACTTGCAAAAATTCAACATGATTTAATTTGTCAAAAACGGACATTGGGCTCAAATTGTATTGTTATATTGACAGCAAGAAATATTTTTGTTCTCGTTTACAAAGATTTTTAGCTGGCTCATTTGAAACCGACCGTCCTTGAGTCACACGTTTTTCTGCACGATCTTTGGTGTCCATAAAAGATTTCTCATTAGCTTTTTTTAAAACAAAGCATGGATTTATTTCTAATCATAGGAGCACAGTGCGGTTTTCAATTCAAAATGTAGACTCAATGGAGACACAATGTAGTCGACCGACTTTTTTATATATATATATATGGCAATGTTCTTAACAAAGCGCAGCCAGCCGAATTGACATTCTATTCAATGAATGTCTGTTTCACTGTTATCTTGCTCCGAAAGATCATACGTACAGCAAACGATTTGAACAAAGACAAAAATGGCAATTAATGGGTAGAGCTTAAAAGCACACGTCGATAAATTCCATGTATGCACTGAGTATATATCTGAAAACACTAGTCATTGTCCTAGTTTCAAGAACAAAGTGATAATGGCGTCTAATTCTGCATTATGAAAGAGGAAGTGGTGTTGCAATAGAAAGTTTAAAATCCATTTTAATTATAGTCTTTTGACATATAAAAACGTCATTTTTTTATAGCAAACCAGAGTTATGTAACCAATTGATCAAATTTAGCATAGCTTCGACAAGATGGAACAAAAACGTAAGCGACTTGCAAATATTTTCGGATTCAAGAGTTCTGTAACAAGGGAGATAACTGGTTATTACACAAACAGTGTATCATGTTGTAAAAAGGGTAGTAGTTTTTATACAACAATATAACCGTGAACTTAAAACCTATGAACAGAAAATATTTGTTGATGTTGTGCAAGGTTTTTTTTCACAAACGGTCCTATTCTACATTAGTGTGCACGTGTCAAGTTACAGACATGTGGCTCAAGCGCGTCAAAACTGTTTAAATACCCATACTTGACCATTTAACGAGTTTTTAAACTAGCAAACGAGTTGACGTATAAATGCGTTACACCATTATATCGTTGTTCATCCCGGTATTGACTGTTTTCATCACGTAACTACTGATTAAGTATCACTTGCACTACTTTTGTATATTGTGAAACTAATATTTGTGTATTAGGTATACCACTGTGTGTGTACGCTGATGATTCTTTCATATTGTTTGTGTAGTACGTCAACCACTATTTGTGTACTACGTAATAACTATGTGCTCAGTACGTGCACCACTAACCTGAGTATAACGTTTATGAAATATGTATATTACGAACACTACGTATTGTTTGTTTGTCTCAAATGCTGTTTTGAGAAACTTACCCGCACTCACTCAATCGGTAGAATTCCCTATTTTTGCACACAGTCGGTACTTGTTGATATTAAGGAAAATTGGGACAGCTGAATATTAGATTTAAATTACATTTCCAGAATAAAATATTGATTAATCTTAATTCTTAAATCTCTGTTACACCTTTTTAGGGATCTTCTCATATTCAATCTCATTAACGCCCGTATTTGTTTGTGCAGGGCAGTAATCTGTTCTATTGATCATTAACGTCTTCATCGATACATAATCTCACATTCAAGCAGCATATTCACAAGATGTTTGTCTTTGTCCGTCCTCAGAACTTAACCCCAGAACAAATAACTCGCGAAACAGTAGCAACGAGAGTTGATGCCCTGTTTCGTTGTTTGTCGTCGTATTGAAATTGTTTTTGACAAAACCCCATATCCTCTAATCATGAATTGCTTGTCATTTCCCAAATTTTTCTGGTCATTTTCCATCTTTACTAGATATTTCCCACCTTTACCAGTCATTTCCCTCATGACCGGATATTCCCCACCTATATTAGACATTTCCAATCTTCACTAGATAATTCCTATCTTAACTAGATCTTCACTGTGTTTACTAGATGTTTCCAGTCTTTGCTAGATATTTTCCATCTGTACTTTCAGGACCATGTGCCCAGGGTTATTTTGATTCGCACTGGCACAAACCTGATTCTTTTCGCCTAGCGGTTAACTCGCCGTAAAGATATATACATATACCAGCATATTCCAACTTGAAAATCAGGCTTTAGCCCAGCTTTTATTTCAGCCCTACTGGCACAACGGTGACAGTTTACCTGCATTTTCATACTTTCTTCCCTTTAATTAGCAATTTATTAATTACTAGTACTTCCGCACTTTTGACATGTTCTCCATCATATGTCCACTAATTACAGAATGTACTCTTACATATTTTTTTGGTGTCACATCGTTGAATATGAATCCGCCTTCACCGTTTTTGTTTTGTGTATTACATATGTACTATGTTAACAGTTGTGATGATTAGTAATAAATTATGATGGAATATTCCGGCATTTTGATACCGTTGTGTTGGTTTTTTATTTTCTTCACTACATAACCCTAGATAACATTGCAGCTATTTTGCTGAGGGATTTTCATCGTGGTATGACTTTAACATTGTGAAATCTCGTTAGAATGAAATCGGACTCGTTTTCACGGTAACATTTCACCATACCTAGAAGAATATCATTTTTTCTGATGATTGATCGCTGTGCCACTTACCAATACAGGACACATTTACATACAGAAATCGGTATGAAAACGATATTTAATCAAATCGCATGGTTTTTCTGTTTGTTACCCTTTTCGAAATGAAAAGTTTAAATTCTACGCTGAAAATGTAACTGATATTTTCCCTGAGAGAAAATTACAAGTTTTGATAATTTTACTAATTTTAACCAACCAAATCACGCTTCGTTCGTTTGTCCTTACATGAATCCGAAGTACAAATGATAATTTTGAGGGTCATTGGTCAAGGATAAATGGTCACCATTGAACATTATAGAAATAAGATATCCTGTGTTAAGTATACATCATAATTCTTAGTATCTTCATATACAAGCTTTTTTAAAATCTAAAACTTTTTTAATAGGTAACTTTAGCCAGTAGAACTATTCTTACGACTATGACGTCAGTAAAGAAATAATAAAAAAAACACACATAAATATCACAATGAAATTTTATTTAAGAATATTTCATTGACAGGATACATGCACATAGATCAAAGTATAAAACAATAATGCAACAGTTCTGAAACAACATTTTTGAAATGGTAATATAAAACAATTTAACCTTATGACATATTGTTATCAACTGCAAACATGTATGCTTCAAGTACATATCGAGCTGTCCCAGATGTGTAAAAGTCTCAGGAAGACCGAAAAGGATTCAGCCTTTCTTATCTTATTAGGTAAGCTGTTTCAACCGCGTAAAGATTTGTTAAGTTATACTGAAATATTTAAAAAAAAAAAAAAAAAAGATGTTGCTTCCTCTCCACATAGCATATTTACTGACGTTACAACATCTTTCAAAACTGACGTGGCGTCAACATTTATACTATTTAATTAATGTCAAAAAGCTTTAAAATAGAATTTAAAAAAAAAATATCAACTGACGGAAAAACGTCGAGAATGCATTTGATATTTAAGAGCTAACCAATCGTTTCTGTTGGATTTACAATCTTGATAGCTTCCTAATCACAATCCCGGGGAATGCTAGTATATAGATTAATTACGTCAAACGAGAATAGCGTCGATCAGATGAACATTATATCTAACTAGTCCTACATGTTGATACAACGATCATATTTCCATTGTCTAAAAATGACTAAAAATATCGTTGAACTGTATTTTTAGTTCTGCTCTGCCAACAATTTTCCTTAACTTTATGGCAGAGATTGTAAATGTCATAAAATGATTAATTATTTTCCCATGATATTTACAGGACAATGGAAAATCTATATCCTCTTTATATTAGCGTACTTGTTTAAGCATGTATACGTCATGTGTTCGTTTGAGAATAGTCAAGCTGTTTAGCCGACTTTGATTTCTTTCGATAATGTCCTCAGTAAGTTTAACCATGACCTAGTTTTTTTCAACGTTGCAATGTTTTCTCTGATCGATGTTATCTCTTTTATCAACAAATTGTTAGGTTTTTTTCGCTTACGATGACACCAGATGACTTATTATCTAATTTTTTCCTATCCATGCATTGCTTTTTCCTATCAACTCCCTGTGTATTCCTATTCACTTCCTGTGTATTCCTATCAACTCCCTGTGTATTCCTATCAACTCCCTGTGTATTCCTATCCATTCCTTGTGTTTTCCTATCCACTCCCTGTGTTTTCCTATCCACTCGCTGTGTTTTCCTATCCATTCCCTGTGTGTTCCTATTCACTCCCTGTGTTTTCCTATCAATTCCATGTTTTGTCCTATCCACTCCTTGTGTTTTCTTACCCACTCCCTGTGTTTTCCTATCCATTCCCTGTGTTTTCCTATCTACTCCTTGTGTTTTCCTATCCTCTCCCTGTGTTTTCCTATCCACTACCTGTTTTGTCCAATCCATTCCCTGTGTTATCCTATTCACTCCCTGTGTTTTCCTATCCACTCCCTGTGTTTTCCTATCCACTCTCTGTGTGTTCCTATTCACTCCCTGTGTTTTCCTATCAATTCCATGTTTTGTCCTATCCACTCCCTGTGTTTTCCTATCCGTTCCCTGTGTTTTCCTATCTACTCCTTGTGTTTTCCTATCCACTCCCTGTTTTGTCCTATCCATTCCCTGTGTTTTCCTTTCCATTACCTGTGTTTTCCTATCCATTACCTGTGTTTTCCTATCCCCTCCCTGAGTATTCATATCCATTACCTGTGTTTTCCTATCCATTACCTGTGTTTTCCTATCCAATCCCTTTGTTTACCTATCCATTCCCTGTGTATTCCTATCCACTCCATATTTTGTCCTATGCATTACATGTTTTGTCCTATCCATTCTGTGTGTATCTTATTCATTCCCTGTGTATTCCTATCCATTCCCTGTGTATTCCTATCCATTGCCTGTGTTTTCCTATCCACTCCCTGTGTTTTAGTATCCACTCTCTGTTTTGTCCTATCCATTCCCTGTGTTTTCCTATCCACTCCCTGTGTATTCCTATCCATTCCCTGTGTATTCCTATCCATTCCCTGTGTATTCCTATCCACTCCCTGTGTTTTCCTATCCACTTCCTGTGTATTCCTATCCACTGCCTGTGTTGTCCTATCCACTCCCTGTGTTTTCCTATCCACTCCCTGTGTTTTCCTATCCGTTCCCTGTGTTTTCCTATCTACTCCTTGTGTTTTCCTATCCACTCCCTGTTTTGTCCTATCCATTCCCTGTGTTTTCCTTTCCATTACCTGTGTTTTCCTATCCATTACCTGTGTTTTCCTATCCACTCCCTGTGTTTTCCTATCCCCTCCCTGTGTATTCCTATCCATTACCTGTGTTTTCCTATCCATTACCTGTGTTTTCCTATCCAATCCCTGTGTTTACCTATCCATTCCCTGTGTATTCCTATCCACTCCATATTTTGTCCTATGCATTACATTTTTTGTCCTATCCATTCTGTGTGTATCTTATTCATTCCCTGTGTATTCCTATCCATTCCCTGTGTATTCCTATCCATTGCCTGTGTTTTCCTATCCACTCCCTGTGTTTTAGTATCCACTCTCTGTTTTGTCCTATCCATTCCCTGTGTTTTCCTATCCACTCCCTGTGTATTCCTATCCATTCCCTGTGTATTCCTATCCATTCCCTGTGTATTCCTATCCACTCCCTGTGTTTTCCTATCCACTTCCTGTGTATTCCTATCCACTGCCTGTGTTGTCCTATCCACTCCCTGTGTTTTCCTATCCACTCCCTGTGTTTTCCTATCCACTCCCTGTGTTTCCTATCCACTCCCTGTGTATTCCTATCAACTCCCGTGTTTTCCTATCCACTCCATATTTTGTCCTATGCATTACATGTTTTGTCCTATCCATTCTGTGTGTATCTTATTCATTCCCTGTGTATTCCTATCAACTCCCTGTGTTTTCCTATCCATTCCCTGTGTATTCCTATCCACTCCCTGTGTTTTCCTATCCTATCCAATCCCTGTGTATTCCTATCCACTCCCTGTGTTTTCCTATCCGCTCCCTGTGTATTCCTATCCATTCCCTGTGTATTCTTATCCACTCCCTGTGTATTCCTATCCACACCCTGTGTTTTCCTATCCATTCCCTGTGTTTTCCTATCCATTCCATATTTTGTCCTATCCATTCCCTGTGTTTTCCTATCCATTCCATATTTTGTCCTATCCATTCCCTGTGTTTTCCTATCCATTCCCTGTGTTTTCCTATCCACTCCCTGTGTTTTCCTATCCATTCCCTGTGTTTTCCTATCCACTCCCTGTGTATTCCTATCCATTCCCTGTGTTGTCCTATCCATTCCCTGTGTTTTCCTATCCACTCCCTGTGTTTTCCTATCCACACCCTGTGTATTCCTATCCATTCCCTGTGTTGTCCTATCCACTTCCTGTGTTTTCCTATCCATTCCCTGTGTATTCCTATCCACACCCTGTGTATTCCTATCCATTCCCTGTGTTGTCCTATCCACTTCCTGTGTTTTCCTATCCATTCCCTGTGTTGTCCTATCAACACCCTGTGTATTCCTATCCATTCCCTGTGTTGTCCTATCCACTTCCTGTGTTTTCCTATCCATTTCCTGTGTTGTCCTATCCACTCCCTGTGTATTCCTATCCATTCCCTGTGTTGTCCTATCCACTCCCTGTGTATTCCTATCCATTCCCTGTGTTGTCCTATCCACTCCCTGTGTATTCCTATCCATTCCCTGTGTTGTCCTATCCACACCTTGTGTATTCCTATCCATTCCCTGTGTTGTCCTATCCACACCTTGTGTATTCCTATCCATTCCATGTGTTGTCCTATCCACACCTTGTGTATTCCTATCCACTCCCTGTGTTTTCCTATCCATTCCCTGTGTTTTCCTATCCATTCCCTGTGTTGTCCTATCCACTCCCTGTGTATTCCTATCCATTCCCTGTGTTGTCATATCCACACCTTGTGTATTCCTATCCATTCCCTGTGTTGTCCTATCCACACCCTGTGTATTCCTATCCATTCCCTGTGTATTCCTATCCACACCTTGTGTATTCCTATCCATTCCCTGTGTTGTCCTATCCACACCTTGTGTATTCCTATCCACACCCTGTGTTTTCTTATCCACACCCTGTGTTGTCCTATCCACTCCCTGTGTATTCCTATCCACACCCTGTGTTGTCCTATCCACTCCCTGTGTATTCCTATCCACACCCTGTGTTTTCCTATCCACACCCTGTGTTGTCCTATCCACTCCCTGTGTATTCCTATCCACACCCTGTGTTGTCCTATCCACTCCCTGTGTATTCCTATCCACACCCTGTGTTTTCCTATCCATTCCCTGTGTTGTCCTATCCACACCCTGTGTTTTCCTATCCATTCCCTTTGTTGTCCTATCCACACCCTGTGTATTCCTATTCATTCCCCGGGTTTTCCTCGCTATCCTCTCCGTGATTTGTTTTTACCCTTGCTCTTTTGTTTCTTAATTATTCCTGTCGACTCGTTGTCTGATTCGACAGCTCATCACAGTATCTTATCAGAGAGCCCAAATCCACACACAACCTGTGATATATAGCACACAAGTAGAATTCTGCAAAATAGATAGTTTGTTCTCGAAGGCATCACTACTGGAGAACCACCGTGAAAAAATACAGTAATATATCACCATACAAGAATATTATCAGTATAACGTCGTTTGTCCTCACGAAAGGCGACTTTTAAGCATGTGAATGTTTTAAAAAACATCTCAGGGAAAAGAAGTTAAAATATGTTGGTTAAGACATGTTAGCATAGATTGGTATATAGTTTTTGCAATATGTCTGCTCGGACATGACCCCATGGTGTATTATGTCTTACAGCGTAAAGGCATTATCATACAATGTGGGGCTCAGTCGGTAAGATCATCCAAGTTGCGAAGTTCAATACCTCCTATCTCTGGCGGTTCATGTTACTCGGGAAGGTGAGGACGACCTGACCTGTACCGACATGTGTTCTTTGGCAAGATATTGTGCCGTAATTGCTTTGAATTGAATTCAACGGACCTTCCGTATGTTGTTCAGTGGTGTAGCTACTACAAGGTTCAAAAAGACTCTTGGCGTTGAACCAAAGACATAATTCCAACAAACACAGAAAACAGTATTTTACAATGTTCGATAGTATATCACGATCAAATGCTATTCATTCATGTCACTACTGATTCGAAAAAGTATGCTTCCTTCATTCTTACCCAAATTGAAAGAATCTGTTCGCTAAAAATATAAAAATAAGACGAAAGAGAACTGATGTACAACAGCCAAGTTACATACGCAATCGTTATCTCTATGTTTATTTAATTCTAACAGCCATAAGCCAAAATGTCACAAAAACGGCGATTCACTACCTCATTTCTGTTGAAACGTGTAATAAAAAGTGTGAAAGTTCAAAGCTGGAGGAGAAACTGTGGGCGAAAATGTTGATATCTATTAATCTATGAAAACACTTTTATGTTGTTTTTCTTTCTGCAAAAAGTGTTAAAATCCGCTATTTCAGTGTTAAAAATGACGTTTTAAAGAGCTTTCTATATTCTTAAAAGTGTACACAAATCAGCTTTGCATGTTGAAGAACATATACTGAGGGGTTCAAAACGGACAAACGACCGAAAACGTTGTAGGTCTTCTGTAAGGCTCAATAGAGGGGGAAAGTTGAAGTTAGTGTAAAGTTATGTGGGGTACACCAAAGAGAAACGATTAAAATTATAAAAAAAACTGTGTTTTGAGGTACACCAAGGGAAAATAATCGAGGTTGATGTTAACCGCTGTTGGGTAGACCAAACAGTCGAGTTCAGTGCAAACTAATTTGTGGGTCACTATGGAAAACATTCGAGATTCGTTTACATTATTTGACATACACCGAAAGGAATTAGCTTATATCCGTATAGACTGCTGTGAGGTACAACAAACGGAAACGTTCGAGGTCAGTCTGACATCTGTGGGTGTACCAAGGAAAACTGTCAAGGTCGACTTAGATATTGGTGGGTTCACAGTGGGAAACCATTAAAATCAATGTAGACTGATATAGGGTAGACTGCTAAGGGGTACACCAAGGGAACCAGTCGTGACCGACTGCTTAAGTGTGCACCAAGGGAAACAGTTGAGGTCGACTGCTGAGGGGTTTATCAAGGGAAACAGTTGGAGCCGACTGCTGAGGGGTACAACAAGGGAAACAGTTGGAGCCGACTGCTGAGGGGTACATCAAGGGAAACAGTTGGAGCCGACTGCTGAATGGAACACCAAGGGAAACGGTCGACTGGTGAGAGGTACACCAGAGGAACCAGTCGCTGTTGGGCTAGAGTGTGGAGGGATACACCACGGGAAACAGTCGGGGCCGACTGCAGAGGGGGTACACCACGGGAAACAGTCGGGCCGACTGCTGGGGGGTACACCACGGGAAACAGTCGTGACCGACTGCTGAACGGAACACCAAGGGAATCGGTCGTGACCGACTGCAGAGGGGTACACCACGGAAAACAGTCGGGGTCGATTGTTGAGGGGTACACCAAGGGAAACAGTCCAGTCGAAGTAAACTGCTGAGGGATGCAGCAAGGGGGATTGTGGACTTTTGTATAGACATCTATGGGGTTCATCAAGGGATACTGTCGACGTCAGTGTAGACAGCTGTGGGGTTCACCAAGGGAGACTGTTAACGTTTGTATAGACATCTGTGGGGTTCACCAAAGGATACTGTCGACGTCAGTGTAGACAGCTGTGGTGTTCACCAAGGGAGACTGTTAACGTTTGTATAGACATCTGTGGGGTTCACCAAGGGATACTGTCGACGTCAGTGTAGACAGCTGTGGTGTTCACCAAGGGGGACTGTTAACGTTTGCATAGACATCGGTGGGATTCACCAAGGGATACTGTCGACGTCAGTGTAGACAGCTGTTGGGTTCACAAAGGGAGACTGTGGACGTCAGCGTAGACAGCTGTGGGGTTCACCAAGGGGGACTGTTAACGTTTGTATAGACATCGGTGGGATTCACCAAGGGATACTGTCGACGTCAGTGTAGACAGCTGTTGGGTTCACAAAGGGAGACTTTAGAGTTCAGTGTAGATAGCTGTTGGGTTCATAAAGCGAGACTTTCGAGTTCAGTGTAGGTAGCTGGGAGATACACCAAAGGGAAATATTTCAGCTCCTCGTGAATCGTTAAGTAAGGAATCAAAGGGACAGAATTCATGTCAGTGTACTCTGCGGAGGAAACACCAAAGACCTCAGGAAGAGTATCACTTTCCTGAAGTTATGTAAACTATCTTTATCTCACATTTTTGCACAGCAATATTTCCTTTTTTCAAAACAATCGTTTGATGTTTTAAGTTTTGCAATAATATCACGTAATTACCATTGACCATTGACAGAGGCCGTTTCTACTTAATTTTTCTAACGAGGATTCCATTCATAAGCTGAAATAAATTGCGCTTAACTATTTTACAGAAATTAAACTAAAAGTTCGTCCTACATACCTAATGAATGCTTTGGCTTAAAAGATGGTTCGGGGAGTCGGACAATACACAGCCGCTTTACTGCCAATATAGTTCGTTTTGCAAAAATAATATCCTCTAGGATGTTAAGAGAAATGGGGGAAATGCATTCACACTAAGGTATATATTTGAAATGATAGAATTTACAATGTTTATTAACCGAAGGTTTTCCTAGTAAAGCGAATTATTTACAAAAATGTTATGTATTCGCCACGGTTTTGTATCTACATCTATGATAAAGGAGTTTACACCTCCTTTTATAATAGCATTTCACATCAATTCACTTTTTTTCTTTTCAGAGCAGTGCTGAGTTTTTTCACAATAAGACGATAATGAAATATTTGCCCTATCAATTAGCTATGTGTATTATGTGCAGAATTTCAAATCTACAATTGATATTTTGAATTTTGCCTCGAATTAATCCTCTCCTCTATATCTAATGATTAAGGGGGATCGGTACTTTATTATCTTTTTCTTCAAACCATCTTTATGAATTGCAATTCTTTGATCTTCTACTTGGAATCAGTATGTTGAGAGTGACTTTATCAGATTTCTCTTCCAGCTGTGTTTTGGACTGGGAACTTTATTTATGGTGCATATTTTCATCTGTGATTAAGCAGGGTTGGATTTCTTTTCATGTCAATTTCTGAACATTTTTTACAGTTTTAACTTCATAGTAAGTCCTTTTCCATTACCAAGATATCATTGTTTTTTTCTATCGTGTTCAAATCCTAGACTTCTTGGTAAATGATTTCTTCGCTTGAGGGACATTTCTATTGTCGAAATTAAGACCCACTTCACACTGTCAGCACAAATAATATTGACATGTCAACAAAACTATATTTCAAACTTAAAATCTATGAAACAAGGGCAAAAAAGAAAAAAAAAAGAAAATGAAATGACGAAAAACCAAAAAGATGAAAAATACAGACGTTCCGGAAAAGTTAACGCCTTTTTCTCCACGTTTTAAAAAGGGAATCGTTTATATAAAGTTAACTACCAGATTTAACTGCGATCATCGACACATCTCACTCCCTTCCTATAGCACAAGGATATTGAATATTTCCCAATGAGATCATTACAATGACCATACTGGATTTTCAACTGGACTGGTTCTGAGAACAGTGAGTCTTAGAAAGATGAAGCAGTTCCATTGTACAGCTAATCGCACAGTATATTGTTACCTTACATGTGTGTTTTTTGTATAATCTTTCATTAGAAGAGATTTTAATGTGTAGACTCAAAGTATTACATCGTATGAAACCCTGAGATTATTTAATGTTCGTTTCTGATACGTGTTAATACTAGACATCAAATTCAGTTTTATTTCGCGCATATATTATTACATCCTTTCAATAGTGTCGTATTGATTCGTTTGATAGACCAAGGCTACCGTTCAAAGCATTTAAATAACTGTTTTTTACTTGTGTACAGTAACACTTAGAATAAATAAAATGGCGATTCTATCAGAGAACACTGGTTTGCCAATATCAAAGTCAGATTGGTATTGGGTGTGTGAAGAAATGTGACATAGTACACAAATAATCTATTTAAGATCACCCCCAAATCAAGAACAAATCTGACAGAGATGCGCAGATGTTAATGTTTGACGTTGATTTTCGCTCGGAAGTCACGCGGTTATCATGCTCGCTGTGATCAACACATAGAAAGATATGATTGTAGAAAAAAACGATTTATTTCAGCTGTTGACACGAACTATACCAAGGTTATCCTGAATGTAGAGGTACAATGTGTTTCCTAGTGTATCGCTAGATAGATCATTACCTATGTGAATAGAGATGAAAGGGAATTTGTTGATAAATAGGAGAACGACTAACGCGTATGTGAAAACATGATATAGCTACAGAGCAACAAAGCAAGTTAAAAGAATGGGAAGCAATGCTTTATTATCTTGTTTATATTCAAACGCGTTTAAAAAACTCTAAATTGGATAAAATCTTATCAAGGGGAGAGAAAGTGTTGTCGACATTTTCCAAGTATTTTATGTTGAAACTAACAACATTTAAACGGCAATTAAACATTTGTATTTTAAACACCAATCTTGTATCTTTACGCTCAAAAATGGTGTAAAAAAGGCAAGATTTCCTGTTTCATGTTACAGGCTTAGTTTCTCAAGACCTGACTTTTTTTTTATCTTCACATTTAAGGACAGACAGACCGTAACATACACGCCATAGCAATATCTATAAGTGGTTGCTGTAAAGGATAGGATACTTTGACAATGAAGAGTCCAAGAATTTGAAAGCCCGTCATTTTGTGATATTGGCACAAGCGTTTATCCAAAATGGCGGATAGGCTGCTTTGACTTGGTGAACTTTGTAACAAAATTCATAACAATGGCTTGGACTTTTGCTTGTTCATCTCAACACCCAGGGTCATTTTCGGACGGAGATCACGATCTCGATGTTATCTGGTGACTACCTCACAGAACAACATACGGGAGCCCAGTATCCAATGCAAGTATTGGGTAGTATCTTGCCAGAACACATTCGTGTCAGCACTAACCGGTTCGCTTCTCAGTTTTCTAGGATACATAAACAAACTGGATGGTGATCGTAGAACAACGCAGCCCGGATCTTT